ACTAGTAGGGAAATTATGCAAAGTACTGTTGAATTTATTATTCGCGTCGTCAAGGCTTGTCATTGTCGGCTCCTCAAGGCTGAGGATCAGCACATATTGACCAATGCGACAACACCATCTCCCCGCCCTCCTCTTTAAGAGGACTGATCCAGAAGATGTATCCTGCGTCTGTTTTGGTTAAACTATTCTCGCAGAGGTCGATGACGTCTCCCTAGAGCGAGGTCGAAAGGGTGTGTATTAGTTGTACTTACTGTTTACCGAACCTCTGTTACATCCAACAGATTATCGTTTAAATGAGACATTTCGTGTGGCATAATTGCAGACCTGGAGCTGGCAGCCGTCGGTTAGTCGAAAAGAATGAACATACATGACTACTCGCTTATTAAAAATAGTATAACAACATGCGTAATTATTACCTCGGCACTTGTACCTCGGCTTATTCTCTAGCTGTGCCTTCCGACCTCTTAGATTTCAAAAATATTTCGTAATTATTAACTCAACTTGCAGTAACATCGGTGTTTCGTTTTTTTTCAATCCTCTATCTGCTTTTCTGACACTGCACATAGAGTTGTACTTAGTCTAAGCTTGCTGAAGCATGTTCTGGAATCGTTCTGTCCTGAAGGGTGTACTCTTAACTTGGTTAAAGTCTCCTTATTTCATCCTGTCTTCCTTTACACAGAGTGCGGCACCGCCATGGACTTCCACAAATCTCAACCCCAACTCTTCCTAATCGCAACGGAAGAAGGCATGGTTCACAAATGCAGCCGAGCCTACATATCACAGTATCTGGATACCTACAAAGCACACCATATGGCAGTCTATCGTGTAGAGTGGAACAACTTCCACAAGGACATCTTCATTACCTGTTCAGCTGACTGGACGGTCAAAATTTGGGACCAAAATAAACAGTGAGTTTCCACCTGTGTCTTGGGACTGAGAGTCCAGATTTGTAGTTCTCTGCACAGCGCGATGGATGACTTTGAGCACAGCCAGCCCCCATGCGTTTGCTTTCCATTCTTACTGGAATATCCACCTAATGGCAGGCGCCTAACATGATGCAATCGATTTTTCGATGGCCACTTTTGCTGCGCTGCGATTAGTCAGGTTTGGCGGGTAACCCTACGCGGAAGAAATTAAGCCAAACTTAGTCAGAATGCCCAGGTCCTAAGCGTTCGAAGTAGAAATTACGTTTCGTCCCTAAGACTGGACAGTCAAAGGTAGAAATTTTTACTTTAACGATGGTTGTTTGTACGTTTTTGTTTTACTCGGTACCTAATCTCACTTTCTGCATTTTTCTCCACTTTACTTTGTACTGATTTAAAACATACATCGTGCTACACCCAGTCTTCTTTTTGGCGTGTCTTACTTTTTCGCTTCGAATGAACAAGGGAAAGAAAGCTGTATTCGTTTTAATGTTCTGAGGAATTCAAAATGTGTCACACGATGTCGGCCAGACTCGCGCGAAATTTTTTATTTGCCCCCCTAAGGGCCCATTTCCCGTTGCCGTTGCGAGTATAACCTTTACATCACATGATATCGAAGTTGTTGCCTTTCTTCTTCCTACCTTGGCGCTTATAGCTGATTATGCTTTATTCTTTTCGCGTTTGCTCTCACTGTTTATTTCTTGCGGCAACATGAATGGCGGCTAGTTGGCGCTCTACCAACTTTGTCAAAATTCGTGAACGAGCACTAAATGAAAATTTGTTAATTAAGAGTAACGCCGCCCCCTTTTTCCGTTTCGCTCTCTGAAAATTGTTTTTACTTAGCAGCCGTAAAGGCCTGACTGTTCCACCATGCATAGCCTTTGTTATGTTATCAATGGACAGCGTTTGAATGATTAGTTAGTAACATCTTATACAGAAGCATCATTCGTTAAAATCAGGGGTGAATAAACTATTTCCAGCTTACATTTCGTTATAAGCTGCTTCTACTACCTCAAAACCAGGCCATGCCACATGTATGTATGTATTCAACCATCGAGTTCGATGAGGTCCGCCTAGTGCACCAACAGGTTGGTACAGAAGGTGACAGTCTCAGGGGGCAACTTTAAAACGACAGCGGACGTAGTTAGCGCCAACCGCACTCTACACCTTCGCGCGGAGTTTCGAAGACTCAGTGGAGCCCAGCGTAGTCTCTTTTCTCCAATGCAAGCCGAAACACCGCTTAACTTAGTCTTAAGTGACAGTAGACTTTGCGCGGGTACTACTGTACTATCTACCCTCACTCAACCATGCTAGGTGTGAAGACAGGCCCAAGGAGGCCGAGACTGATACGGTTACTACTGTT